GTCTTCATGAGTCGTCTGGGCGTCTCGGCGCGCCGCACGGAGGTGGTGTCATGACTGGAGGCAGCTGGAGACCAGATGTGGGAGGAGAGCCCGGGCGCTGCCGGCAGCGCGGCAACCCCTCCGCCGCCTTCAGGGGCCCCCGAGGCGGGTGTGGGTGGGAACGGGCACCCCCACCCCCTCCTGGCCCTTCCTGTCCGGTGACCCAACCTTGTGACAGGGTTAGTGGGGCAACCGGCCAACGGGCTGGATGCTATCGCTGCCGTGGGCACTGTTTGTCCAGGGAGGGGCCCCCCAGTCTCCTTTTAAAATTTTTATTGATTTTAAGAGAGAGGAAGGAGGAGAGAGAAACATCGATTTGTTCCACTTATTTGTGCTTTCACTGGTCGATTCCTGCATGTGCTCTGATGGGGTCAGACCTGCAGTGTTGGGGTCCTGGGAGACCCGGACCAGCTGAGCTCCCTGGCCAGGCCGGGGGCGCCGCTCCCACCCCTTCCCGGCTGCCCAGCTGATGGAAGGGCGGGGCGTGGCTAGAGAGAGGGCGGCCCTAGGAGGCCAGGGCCCCGAGCGAACACTACTCTCGGTTAGGAATGTGTGCCCCGCGGTTAAAGCTTCCTGGGAACTTCCCTTGTTGCAGTCGGTCAGACTGGGTGACGATGGGTCATCCTCCCCCTCAGCCGTTTTCTGGGGGTGAGCATCTGCCGCGCCGGGATGGGGTTAAGTCTGACTCCTGGGTGCGCCCGCTGCCCTCCAGGTGGGTGTGGGTCTGGCCTGACCCCACCTGCTTCCTTCGCAGGCCTGTGCGGTGGGACTGATGGCTGTGGGCATAGGGGCCCTGTTCATCTTCAATCAGACGGTCAGCCAGGGGACCGCCAGCTCCGTGCTGCCTGTGGTCATCATTGCAGTGGGCGCCTTCCTCTTCCTGGTGGCCATTGTGGGCTGCTGTGGGGCCTGCCAGGAGAGCTACTGTCTTATGTTGACGGTGAGTGGCCAGTGGGGCCAGGGGGGTGTGTGGACTTCTCTTCTGTGGCGGGGCTCAGGAGGTGGGAAAGCCGTGGTGAGTGTTCCAGAGACTGGCTGGGCCACAGCAGGCCCCTCTCACCCGGACTCCAAACCTGACTCCTGTCCTTCGTGCCTGCAGTTTGTCATCTTCCTGTCTCTTATTGTGCTGGTGGAGGTGGCCACCGCCATTGCTGGCTATGTGCTTCGAGACAAGGTAAGCAAGGAATCAGGGGAGAGCCTTCCCTCAGAGGCTCTGCGGCCCAGGTACCCTGCATTCTGACCTCAACTTCCCTACTCCCAGGTGAGGTCAGAATTTAATAAGGACTTCCGGCAGCAGATGAAGAATTATCCCAAACAGAACCAGACAGATCTTTTCCTGGACAAGATGCAGAAAAAAGTGAGTGGGGTTGCTGGGATCAGGGGTAATGGAGGAAGAAGGCTCTCATCTTCATATTGAAGGTGGAGGTTCACCTAACAACCTCCCCCGTATCTCTCTTCTCCCCCAGTTCAAGTGCTGCGGGGCGGCTAACTACACAGATTGGGAGACGGTCCCTCTTGAGCCCAAGGACCGTGTCCCTGACTCCTGCTGCATCAACGTCACTGCGGGCTGCGGGGTTAATTTCAAGGTGAAGGACATCCATACTGAGGTAGGGAGAAGGCTGAGATGAGATAGCAGGGCACTTGGGAAACCTGGGAAATGTTTCAAGAGATGAGAGGAACCAGGGATGGAGGTGCAGAGGGTTGGGGCTCCGAGAAGTTGGGGATCAGGAATGGGGAGGGGATCTGAGAATGCTAGGGGTGGGGAGAAAGGTATAGAGCAGCAGTTCTCAACCTGTGGGTTGCGACCCCTTTGGGGGTCGAATGACCCTTTCACAGGGGTTGCCTAAGACCACTGGAAAACACATATATAATTACATATTGTTTTTGTGATTAATCACTATTCTTTAATTATGTTCAATTTGTAACAATGAAATTGGGGGTCACCACAACATGAGGAACTGTATTAAAGGGTCGTAGCATTAGGAAGGTTGAGAACCACTGGTATAGAGGGTGGTGAAGAGACAGATGGACACACGGGAGGTGGGAGGGAAGTTTTTTTTTTTTTTTTAAAATACATTTTATTGATTTTTTACAGAGAGGAAGGGAGAGAGATAGAGAGTTAGAAACATCGATGAGAGAGAAACATCGATCAACAAGCCTCCCGCACACTCCCCACTGGGGATGTGCCCGCAACCCAGGCACATGCCCCCGACCGGAATCGAACCGACGCTCTATCC